TACTATTATTCTGAAAGCTAGAATGAATGCTTCGGAAAGCACCAACAAAGGTGGCTTAGTCTGTCTTCTGTTGCTGTCACAAAATGCCTGAGGCCAGGTAATTTTCTACATAGGTGTTTATTTATGGCAGTCCTGGAGGCTGGGAGTCCTAAGGGTGTACTGCTGGCATCTCCTTGGAACCTGGTGAGGTCCTTCTTGCTGTGGCACAGCATGGCAGAGGGCATCAAAGGCAAGACAGCTCATTTCTAACGGAGGCCCGCCCTCAGCAACTCATTAATCCATCAACCCACAAATATTTCATCCAGTCACGAGGGCTCAGTCACCTCCCAAAGGTCTCATCTTGTAAGTGCCATGATTTTGGGGATCAAGTTTCCAACACATAGGTTCTGGGAGTCCCATCCAACCCATAACGAAGGGCAAACAAATGAAAGGTTTTATGATAGGGTGAACATTATACGTGGAAGGTCGCTGAGGGAATTTTCAAATACCCAGCAGTGTGCTGCATTCTGACTTCCTTTATATGCAATTAAGTTCTCCTTTCACTTTGAAGAATTAAAAACCTGTGTGTTGTGGTCAACGCTTTCTAAGAGCACGATTTAGGTCAGAGAGACAGCTGTAATTCTAGGCACTGAACCCATACTTAAAGGAAAGGACTTGGCCCAACATCAAAAGATTGGCAAAAGAATATACATTTGCATGTTTTAAGTTAAAATAAAATGTTTAATACCCCAACCCTTTGACCCAGGAAATCCACCCTGATCATACACACATGTCACAAATACTTGGGCTAGCAGCATTTTTCATGCCACCCCACACTGGAAAACCAAAAGTCTTCCAACGGAAGACTAGATAAACAAATTGTGATAAATTCTCTATCAAATAATACTCAAGGATAAAAAGGAATGAGATGGGCGTGATGACGTATGCCTGGAAGACCAGCACTCAGGAGGTTGAGGCAGCAGCAGTGAGAGTTCAAGACCAGCCTATGCTACGTAGTGAGACTCTGTCCCAAAGAACCAAAGGTTAAAAAACGCTATATTTCATGAATTTTATGACAAACACAAGAAGCCAGACATGAGAGTGCTCACACAGCATGATTTCATTTATATAAACTTCTAGTTCAGCCAAGATCAATCTACAGCATGACAACTCCAGAAACATTCTAGGGTAATCTAGAATTTTGGTAACTTAACAGAGTCATGGATCACACCCCTGTGTCCACTTGCCAAAACTATACCATTGGGGTTTTTTATTTTACTACGTGTTTATTTTATCTAAAGAAAATAGAATCTAGCCGGGCACTGGTGGCTCACACCCATAATCCTAGCTACTTGGAAGGCTGAGATCAGGAGGATCACAGTTCAAGGCCAGCCTAGGCAAATAGTTTGAGAGACCCCATCTCCAAAAATAACCAGAACACAATGGACTGGAGGTGTGGCTCAAGCTGTAGAGCGCCTGCTTCGTAAGTGCAAAGCCCTCGGTTCAAATCCCAGCGTTGCAAAGTCCAGAACAGGCAAGTTCACAGAGCAATGAGATATGCTAGGGTTGCCTGGGGCTAGGTGGGTGACACCCGGGGGGTGCAGGATAGTCAGTGACTTTTTTGTTCCAAAGTTGGTCGTGATGATGCTTTTACAACTCTGGGAATATACTAAAAACAGTGTCAAAACTTGTAGCAAGTGAAGTATAAAAGTTAAAACACCATCAGTAACAAACAGGTGCACATACGAGATTGTATCTTGTTATACTATCAGTAAAAAACTTAAAATCAGAATACACCTACCTGCAAGCCAAAAGGAATGGTAAGAACGAATGAGGTGCCACGTATAAATAGGTGTCAAGCAGTCGCTGTAATCATGTTTTGATTAGGTATGAACACACAGAAATCTTACGCTGTAATTTTGGGGGGAAAGGCTGTTGATACAAGGTCTTGCTATCTACCATCTTCCTGAGTACTGGGATTACAGGTGTGAACCACCATGCCCAGCTTCTCTTGTTGTGACCTTAAAGGAAAATGCAGAACTTAAAATCTGCCCTAACCTAGCTTGGACACACATACACATACAAAAGTTATAGAAAGAAACCCACAACCAGTGAGGAATGGCTAACTCTAGGTGGTGTGACAGTGGACAGTTTTTCTTTTCTTTTCTTTTTCCCTATAGTTCCTGTATTTCACACCAGCATAGTTAGTTGTTTATAACAAGGAAAGTTATTGTTTTGAAGATTTTTTTAAAAACAGTTTATTCTTCAAAATGTATTTGAGATTTAGACAAAAGAGCTGGATTGAGAAGGGTGGTATGAAGTCAAACCTTTTCCTTCACCCATGAGGAAAGGAGGACCCAAAGAGGCTGAGAGACTCCCTACCCTATTGTCAGGCTTCTGTGACTTGGAAACAGGTCCCTCCCTCTTCTTTCTGAGTCTGTTTCTTCCTTTGACAACCACACACACACACACACAAAATTAAATAAAAACCAAGTGTGGTGGTACACATCTGTAATCCCAGCTGTGCAGGAGGTGGAGATAGCAGAATCACAGGTCAAGACTGACCCTAGAAAAGGCTCTAGATCCTATTCAAAAAATAACTAAAGCAAAAAAAAAAGAAAAAAAGTGTCGGGGGCATGGCTCAAGTGGTAGAGTGCTGGAGTATGAGATCCTGAGTTCAAAAACCCCAATGTCACCAAAAAAGATCAAGCAAAAACTTGAGAGATTTCTTTCCCCAAATTGGTTTCTGTTTGAAAATTTGCACAGGATTAGGTAGAACTGACCCAACAGACCACTAGAGGGCAGCAGCAAGCCGGGCCCAGATGACCCCAAAGAACAGTGGGTACACGGCAGTGACGATCTTTGACCCCAGATGACCATCTTCAGCGTTCTCTGGCAAGCCCTGGTCAGGAGGCTTTGAAGGGGCACCCTGGTTCCCATTCTCGAGCTCAAGGTGAGAATGATGCCCCAGTGACAGCTGGTAGCATTTTTCTAAGCAGGGGCCCATCATCTCCTCATTTTCCTACTTCCAGTATTGTCCAGGGGACATTCCAGCCTTTGGCATCTGGACAGGAAGCCCAGATGGAAGGCCAGAGGATGCAGAGGGAACCGTCCATCACAGTGGCTGGCTTCTGACGCCATTCCCCACACGCCCCCAATGGCTCCTCAGATAAGAGTCAGGCAAGAAACCAAGAGCCCAAGACTCCTCCATGGAAATAAAAGGTCATTGAAATTTGGCAGGCCTCCCTGTTCCAAATGCATCCCAGACCATAGTAAACGTGGAATGTGATCAGTGTGGAAATCCAGAGATGTGGGCCTGGCTGCAGAAACCTGATTCCTGACCCTGTCTCCAGGCCACGTGAAAATGAAGAACACAGACTTGGGGGAGGGGGGCGGTTGTGTTAGTCAGCCTTCTGTCACTGGGACAAAATACTTGAGGTCATCAACTTATAATAAGAAAAGGTTTATCCTGGCACAGAGTTTTAGAGGTTCCATGATGGTTTGACCTCATGGCAGGAGCGTGAAGTGATAGGGTGAGCAGTTCACTTCATGGCCAGTGGGAAGCACAGAGAGAGAGAGAGAAGAGACCAGCATCTCACAATCCTCTTCAAGGGCATGCCCACGGTGACCTAACTTCTTCCCACTAGGTTTCCTCTCTTCGTGGCTCTACCACCTCCCCATGGTGCCACAGGCTCGAGACCAAGGCTGGAAGTGGGTGTTTGGGGACTCTTATCCAAACCATGGCAGGAATACACTCTGGTTCCAATGAAGTAACCTGACCTGAAATTATCTTAAAAGAAGAAAGATCTCTTTTGGCTCATGGTTGCAGGGATTTCAGTTCATGGTTTGCTGACTCCATTGCTGATGGGCCTGTGGAAAGGCAAACTCCATGGCAGGGAGCCCGAAGTGGAACAAAACTGTTCACTTCCTGGTGGCCAGGAAGCAAAGAGGAAGAGGAAGGAGTGGGGCCCAATAGCCCTTAAAGGGCACACCCCTAAATGACCTACTTCCTCCAGCGAGGGCCACCACCTAAAGGAATCCCATCTCCCAACCATCACCTGGGGACCAAGCTTCGAAGATCCAAACCATGACTACAAAGAAATTCTCTCTTACCTTGGAGACTCGAGATGTTTATTGGACCACTTCTCAAATCAACCGAGGACTAAGTCATTGAAAAGGCAGATTTCCCAGGTGTGATAGGAAACTGTCCAGAACCCAAGCCCACGCTCTGTGAGTTGCTTCCTCACGAGTTGAAAGCCCACTCAATTCATCATAACTGATTTATGCTAAGAAAAACACTTACACCAAGATTAAAAAATGGGGCCCACCGTATTTCCCACAGATGGCCAGGACAGCTCCTATGACCTGTGTGATACTACCCGCACTGAGAAGTGGGCTTTGTGTCCCCTCCCATCGAATGTGGGAGGGCTCTGTCCAGATGTGACGTGACCTTCAAGGCTAAATCACAAAGACAGAACAGCCTGCTGGTTTCCTTTGGGATGCTTGTGGAGGGAGTCAAGCCACCACGCAGTGAGGAGGACCAAGCAGCCACCGAGAGAGGTGGCATATGGACAGGTGCTTCATCGGCAGCCCCAACTGTCATCCCAGACAGCAACCACTCAACAGTGCAAGTACTCAGTCCTTCAGATGAATCTAGCCCTAGGGCTGCACATACCACCCCAGGTGTTCCCAACACCCCAAAAGCTAGACACCTGCAAAAACTCACTTCTACAATTATCGACTCCTGAAATTAGAGTTTATTTGTAAACTACTTTTAGTAATGGGTTCTTCTGGGATTTATTTTTACAAACACAGTCTTCCACAGAGCCCCAAGAATAACTAAAATATATCAGTCTGACACTGTGTTAGTTGAAATAAGGGGAGAAGAGGCAGAAATTGGCCTTATACACCTGTCACCCCCACACTGCCCCTATCCAGTTTCCTGAGAACTGTCGCCTTGGCAGGTGAAGGTGCCAGTCTGTCTCTCTGGTCCCATCAGCGGTTCCAGCAGGTCAGTGGTCCTACTTGACCTTGATATTCTGCTCCAGGTAGTTGGTGTAGCTGGTCAGGAGCACCCTCTGCAAGCCTCTGCTGTACAAGGCCCAGGACGGGATCAAGCTCAGGAGGCCTGCCTTCAACAGACAAAAAAACCAACGAGCATGTGAGAGAAAAGCCAAGCAGAGAACTGACACCTCCAAGTGTCTCAGGGCCTAGTCACAGAGCTCAGTGACACAGCACTGGCCTCGCCTGTCCGAGGCTCTCACTTCCACCCTCAGTACCAAGGAAAAACTAATTGCTTTCTGGCTACTAAAGTGACATCCTCCAATCTATCAAGTAGTTACTCAGGTGGAAGGTTCGGGCGACCTCTCAGCAAACAAGGTTTTCTTAGACACCCATGCAGTTCCTTTGACTCCCTTTGGATGCCTGGAAGGGTCATCCCTAAGGTCATTTTAAATCAAGAGACCTGTGCCCACCTGTCCCTCTTCCTGGTGCCCAACCACCCAGCTGCCTTCATGCTCTTTCAGCCAAGCTTCTGTTAAAAGGAGACCCCAGGAAAGAGTCAGAATTACTTCCCTCCAACTTGGGCCCGATGGCCGAGGCTAGGCAACTGTGTGAAGGCGTGATGGAGTTAGTGAGCGACAGTCATTCAGAGAACTGCGAAGAGCAAACGTGGTACATTTGCTCTTAGAAGGAGGGGGAGCCTTAAGCGAAGGTATGAAGCCCTGATTGAAGGCAAGGTTTCCTGCCTTGTGTCCTATCAAGGAGGTCCTGGCCCCAGAAAGCCATCATTGCGTCCACAGTGTGGTCTTGTTAGTCCATCATTCTTTGATCCACTCCCTCCCTACAAAACAGGAGTTGAACCAGAGAACTTGAGTCTCCACAGAGCTATTCTTGCTTCTTGAGGAAGCTCCAATTCTTGGAGCTTTGCACTTCCCCTGGGACATTCCAGGCTACGGACTGAAGACGGCTTTTGGAACCCAAACTGAACTCTTCCTCCACTGGTCAGTCACTGAATCAACACATCTTAACCTAGAACTTGTCCCCACCTGAGATTTTTCATCTGACAGCAAAATCGTGCACTTTCTTAGCTTCAGTAGGTGTAGATGTTGGTGGCACTGGGCTTTGAACTCAGGGCCTTGTTTGCTAGGCAGGTGTTCCCCCACTTGAGCCACACACACACACACACACACACACACACACACACACAGCCCTTTTTGCTTTAGTTTGTTTTTCAGAGAGAATCTTGTGCTTTTATCCAGGCTGGCCATCTGTGAATCCTGAGTAGCTAGGATTACAGGGATGAACCACCACATCCAGAACCTTGGTTAGCTTTGTCTTAAAATGAATGCTTTGACTTATCAGGGTAACCTATGAGGAAATTAATGAGTTAAAATTTCAGCCCATTTGAAAATGGTCTACAAGACTTCTTCTTTCATGTCTTTGAACCAGGAAAGGCTGTGACATCAGAAAAAGTGGGCTTAAGTCACCTTACTGCCTTCGGTCAGTGAGTCAGTTCTGAGCTTCGTTTCTTGATTATAAAAGGGAAACTTTAACACCTAATCTCACAAGATGACGAGGATGTTTAAGCAAGGTGACATATATGAAGCCTTCATGGAGTCTCCAGGCCTTCCTCAGCCGCTGGCCCCGGCCCCCCTTGAAGGTAGACAATTGTCATCTTTGTCTCACCTCTTTGTAACAGAAGGGTAGTTCTTTATCAGTTGGTTCTACAGAATTATCCATCTCCTTAAATTCCACACTCTTTCTAAATCCTGGCAAATTCCAAGTTGGTTTTAATGATGAATGTGTTTTCATTTCTTTCCTGCTTCATCCAGGGACAAAAACTCTTTTTCCTAGCATGTTCTTGGTATCTAATTGCCCGAATAGATTAGAATTTGTTGCTAAGAAATCGAAAGAGAAGAACCAAGAAGATACCCAATTTTGGACACGTAGAGTTGGACCGTGCACGAAGTCTTGTAACAGTGGTGCAAGCCGGGCTACTGTGTCAAGAGCACACTTTCCAGATGTGATGGAGTCCATTTAAGACATCAACATCTGGGAGAATGAAGGTCACAGAGTTGTCTGGAAGGTGGAGGGGATGTCACCCCCACTGGAGACAGCTAACCCTAGAGACGGGCAGACTGAGATACCACACCCATGTACAGGAAGTCTGTGGCTTTTCTACCCCGGAGATGGTGGAATGTGGAAAGAGAGAAAGAGAGAGAGAGAGAGAGAGTCAGAAGTGTGTCCTCTGTTAGATGTGGCCTCTGGGCTTATCCTGAGGGTTGGGGGGATTGGGTAAAAAGTGGGGAAGTGTGACAAATAGGTAGGAGTGACACTAAGGTCACTATTGTGGGGTGCAAACTTAGCATGGTGAGAGAAGTGCTGGGATTGGCTTTTACAGCTTCCCGGGGTGCCCGTTGATGCTGCTGCAGAGAAATGCAAGCCAGAGGCCTCTGTGAGTCACAGCCACTGAGGGACAACAAGCCTGGGGGTGTGGTAGAGGTTTGGGGGTCTGCACCCTCTGTAGCTGGAGAGGCACTGGACAGGAAGTCAACTGGTCAAGCGAAGAGACAGAAAGAGTCATCGCCTTCGACATACATTTCTGCAAAGTCAGCAGCCACCCAGGTAGCCAAAGGTGAAGGACACCAGTAACACACACTATGGGCCAGCACAAATCACGGGGACTTTTCTCCCCCATGTCATCCGAAGTGAGAGAGGCTGGAGGAAGAGAGGCTCCCAGTGCATTTCCAAAATGGCCACATTCACTTATCAGATCAAAGTAGGTTTAAACTCACTGGAGCTTCCTTAGTTTTCTGTAGCAGATGGTGATCTGGAAAAACAGACCAGATCAGATCCCACCATAGGAAAAATAAAGATTTTCCTCTTTTTCTATATGTCCACTGTGCCGTGGGGTTAAGCTGGCAATTCTGCACAGTGTTGAAGTTCTACAGCAAAAATGGTAAGTAGTCATGCAGAGAAAGTTTAGGAGGGTCACAGTTTGAGGCCAGCCTAGGCAAATAGTTCAAGAGACCCCTATCTCCAAAATAACCAGAGCAAAATGGACTAGAGGTGTGGTTCAAATGGTAGAGCACCTGCTGAGCAAGTGCGAAGACCTGAGTTCAAACCCCAGTCCCCTTACCCTCCAAAATAAGAGAACTAATTCTCAGGATAGAAAAGCTAACTAGGCAGAAAAGAACCTTGGCATGTCACAGGTGACAGGTAAGTGAAGAAGGTTCATCGAAAGCTCTTTGGTGGGGATGGAAACAAAACTACATTGACAGGGCTGGCGGAGTGGCTCAAGCGGTAGAGCACCTGCCTAGCAAGTGTGAGGTCCTGAGTTCAAACCCCAGTGCCACCAAAAAAAAAAAAAAAAAGCCCACTCTATTGACATTGTGTGCGTTGACTGGTTTCAGTGTTAGTGTGCCATGCTCAAGTGTCCCTTTGTTTCATGCTTGTTTGTGTTTTTTCAAAGCAGCCCACGAATGACAAAAACTTCTCATGCACTGGGCGTAGTGGAACACGCCTGAAATCCCAGTTAGCCAGGAAGTGGAGGCAGAAGGATTTCAAATGAGCTGGCTCAGACTAAGGTGGGAGTCCCTCTCTGAGAAACAAACTCAGAAAGCAAAAGGACTGGGGACACGTGGCTCAAATGGAGAGGGCCTGCCTAGCAAGCTCAAGGCCCTGAGCTCCATCTGCAAAATAAAATACTTCTCTCTGTATATCCTTGGCCCTACTTCCATATTTGATGCAGCTCACAGCGTGCTGGATCTCACCTGTGTCGTTCACAAGAGCCAATTGGGTTCGTCCCTCCTTACACAGTGACATCGTCTGACAGGCTTCATGTCAGCTATCCTGGGAGCATTTACACCAAGAAAATGCTATTTAAATCACAGTGGTCTTGTTCTTTTTACCCCTTTTCTGTGTTGGAAATGAAGTGTCTGCCTAAAAAGCTCACGTGTTAAAGGCTTGGTGGCTTCATTGGAGGAAGTGGGTCACTGAGGACATGCCTTTGAAGGGTATGTCTTGTCCCCAGACCCTTTCTTACTCTCTGCTTCCTGGCCACCATGAGGTGAGCAGTTTCACTCTGTCATGTGTCCTCACCATGATGCTCTACCTGTCCTTGGGCTGAAAGGTAATAGAGCTGGCCACCCATGAACTGAACCCTCTGAAATAGTGAGTCGACATAAACCTTTCTTCCTTTAAGTTGTTTGCCTCAGGTATTTTGTCACAGCAATGAAAAAATAGACTAACACACACTTGAAGGCTTGATTGCTACATATGTACTGGAACAGTTAAAGAAGACAGACAGTGAAGACAGAGGCCCCCCACATGGAAGCCCCAGATGTCTTGGTGTTTCCTAGCCAAGTGCTCCTAGGAGCCATCTTCCATTCTAGCAGAGAAGTGAGGCCAACAGGGAGCTTTAGGGCTGACTCCAGGTTGGTACCCAGGCCTCCAGCTTCTTCCCCTCACCATGCATTCCTTAACTCATAAGCATCCCTGAGGGGAAATTGCTGAGTGTCCCAACAGCAAGGAAGAGCCAGTTGAGCCCTGCAAGGTAGCCAGCATGCCCTCCCTGCCCTGCTTCAAGAAAGGAAGAAGGTATTGATTACCAGGATCTCGTGGGCAAGGCAACCACAGGTCTCATCTCCCACCGTGATGTACTTCAGTGACTCTTTGACAAAGTCCTCAGCACTCTTGGTTATTATGCTGGTATTTACATGTTTTGTCATTGGGGTTGAAACACCATATGGGGTCAGCACCTGCAATGCAAAATAAAGACCAGAGCCCACAAGTAATCCATTCCAGAGAAGACCCAGGAGTTAATGATCATTACCAGCCCACCACTTCCCAGCTCCTGTCTTCCTATAAAATGTTTTGAGGTCTAGATGATAAAAGGCATTGAACCTGCACAAAGCTGGGGGTCAGGAGATTTGATTTCTTAAGACAAGGCCTTAAGCATACAACACATGACTCAAATGCTCTCCCAAGCACACACGGTGACTGGCAAAGTTGTTAGATAAAGATACAAGACACTGGTTAAAGCTGAAGTTCAAACCAACAACAGAACAAGTTTAGCATAATTGCATCCTGTGTATTGCATGGAATGCCCGCCTTGTGCTAAAAAACTTATTCAGCCAAGTGTGATGGTGCATGTCTGTAATCCCAGCTCTCAGGAGGGGGAAGTCAGTTTGGTTTTTTTCTCAATGTGTTACTCTTTGAGAAATGCAGGAAATATTCCCAACCCCACTCTTCAGAGAGGGAAGAAGTATTTGCAATCTTCCAGTGAATTCTAGTTATCTATGTACAAAGAAAAGACTCAATACATATGGTTTAAACTTGTACAGATAGTCTTAGATCTTTATGATAACCCATTGAAGAAAGGAGATGTTATAAACCCATTTTATGGATAGGGAAACTGAGGCTTGTGGAGTTTAAGCAAGCTGTCCAGGATCACTCAGACGACAAGTGGCAGAACTGAGATGAAATTCAAACCCTATGATATGCACATCTTTATTCATTTAACAAATATTTCTTGATCACCAACTATGTGTATATTCGGTGAGGATAACAGGGTCTTTTCACTTTCTCATAGTTGTTAGGAAAACAACTCCAAGGCCTCTGTCTTGGGAAGGGTATCTTTCTCTTCCCCCTTCTCCTCCTGACCCTGTTGCCCCACGGAGCACACTATCCAAGTAGCTACAGGATCCCTTGCCCACCTTGATCAAGATCAAGATGGTGGTAAGGCTGCCACATGGCCAGGAAGCAGTAGCTAAGGAAACCATCCATGTTTAGAAAACACCAAGGCATTCTGGTTCTTGCTTCTTCTAGACACACGATAAAATTGTACTTCCTGGGCTCATGTGGAGAGTGGGACCATGTGACCAGATCTGGCCAGTGAGTTATGAACAGAAGAGCCATTTGTCATTTCTGAGCCAGAGCTCGATTGTCAAAGAAAGGTCCTCTAGGTATCCTACTACTTTTTCTCTGATGTGTAAACCAACAATATTCAAGATGGCAGCTGCCCATCCAGGTGGGTCCTTGCCTCACTACAACGAGCCATGTCTTCTGCCAGCTCACAGCACAGTGGAAGGAGATGAGCTGGGCTCAGCAGGACCATGGGGAAAGTGACCAGGCAGTTACAATCACTCACCATGCTTTGGGCCAAATTCCCACCATTGACTCACATCTGTCTGTTTAATAAACTGTCTCCTACAGCTGCTTAGTTTATAGGAACAGCCACCTAAAACACTCTCACCTGGACATTTCAACTGAAAAAACTCAAGAACTTTAAAGATGTAATTGTGAGTATGTCTTTTTCATGTCTATGTCATAAAACTTCCTCCAAGACAATGACAAACCAAAACCACATCTGTGAACTGTTTATTCTAGGGTCCAGAAACCACTGAACTCTGTGTTGGTGAACCAAGAACCTGTAAATCATTGCCTGTCACATTACTCAGACTACAGAAAGTGGCCACAACCCAACTCTGTTTAAGTGAGGACAGGGACTTGGGGGGGAGGTCTCTGTGACCATCACAGATCAGCAGCAACCTAAGGAAGATCCCCTGCATCCCTAGTTTCAACATTGCCCAGGTGCCCAGTTTTCTTTTGTTCCTTCACCACAGTTCCTTGTGCCTGGGTCAGAAAATAAAAGGCGGTTACACAAGCTCTCAGTTCTGTTCAGATGTAGCATCAGGTAGCAAGAGGGTCCAAGCATTTTTGAGCAATCACATCCTTGTCCCAGTTCCTCCTCTAGCCTCAAGACATAGGGATGGTAGCAGAAATCAGAGCAGCAGGAGGAATGGTGTGTCTGCAACTGCCGAGCCAGTGGTCCATCACCCAGCCCAGCCCATCTCTGCACTGACTGCACGTGCGTCGCCAGTCCTGCAAGGGGCAGTGGTACGGTGACCTAGAATTCCCATCCCCAAGGATTCACCATGTCCCACTCACCTGGATAATGATTCCCTTTTCTTTGTATTCCACCTGCAATGCCTTGGAAAACATGCGCACAAAAGCCTGCAGTGAGAAAGAGAACTACCTAAGGGTTCAGAGCTCGCATTCTCTTCCTTCCTTTAGAGCCAACTTCCTCCCGTTTCAAGGGGGTGCGGCCAAGGTGCTACCTGCTGGAGCTGGAAGTCAAAGAGTACAAAGGTCCGGTTCTGTAGGATGAAGGGGTTCTGCAGATCTTACAGTATAACAGCAACTTGTATACTTGAAAGTCACTAAGACAGTAGATCTTACATGTTCTTCCCTCCAATGTGAGGTCAAGGGTATGTTAGCTAGCTTGACTGAATCATTCAAGAATGCATTTGTGTGTGTGTGTATATATATGTCAATTTATCATGCTGTGCACTGTAAATTATGTTCCATTCTTACTTGTCAATTATATCTTAATAAAGCTGGAGCCAAAGAAGAGAAAGTGGGTGGAAAGGAATGCTCACGTCATCCCAGCCTCAGGAGTATTTATTTTTGGAATAAATATATCTCTCGAGCCAATGCATATTGATTTGATTTACTACCAGGGAATCTCTCCCTTGTTAGGCACCTGCTACTCCTAGGGCTGTTTTAATAACTAGGGCATGGTGACACCAAGTTATACAGACCTGGAGCAAGCCACAAGGTGGCTTGTCAGTGAAAAGAGAGAAGGGCTCCCAGACTAAGAGGGGCAGGACTGGACTCTTGGGCAAGGCTTGCCATGTTGTGTTGCCCAGGGGGAGTACTTTTTCCTACTCTGCCCAGAGGGAGCAACTCTTTCTAATCTGCACACAGACTCCCCATTAGCTAGCTTTCCCTGGACTACCTACTGGCAAACCTGTCCATCAACTAGCCACATGAGCCAAGGAAAATGCCACCTAAGGAGAAAGAAGAAGTAACAAGAGATCCAGACATCTCCTCACTCACCTTGGAAGCCGAATACAGAGAGTAGAGAGGCCAAGGGCAGAGGGCAATCCCAGAAGAAATATTCAAGATGAGACCTTTCTGCCTAAAATGGAAAGAAGCAAAGTTCCAGTTGCCTCACTGACTGCCCCCCTCTCCCCGCCACACCACCACCACCACCAGAGAAAAAGCAAAGCACCACGTGAACACTGTCAAAATCCACCCTCTCTGGGCTTCTGAAGGTGTTAATAACTGTGAGTGGAACTTCCCCTAAGTTCTGGAGGAATGTCACTGTGTAGGGATGTCACTCAGCAGTCACAACATTAAGGGCTTGTTACTAGAAACAGAGGCTCTGTTGTGACAAAGGTCTCCATGTCAAAATACAGACAGCCACCTGAGCTCAGACAGGATTCAAGAAGGAAGGGGGTTCACCCATCCTAACAGTGACTCACAAGCAGGACTGCTGTCACCGTGGAATCCTGTACTGGGTGGTGGTACCCCACCCTTTGCTCACTCAAGACACCCCACACAAGTCTCCAGGGGTCTTATCTGTCTTTCTGAAGTTCAGAATCTTTAATCCTTCCCAGGTAGATGCATGGAGGGGAATGTCAAGAAAAAATTAGATACCAAGCCAAGCTCCTATTTGTTTTTAACGAATACCACCTGAGAAAAAATGAACTCCCAATAATAAGGTGTAATAAGGTGATAGAAGCAGGAAATAAATGAAAAAGCTGATAGGGTGAGGATTTTTTTTTTTAGCAGCAAATTGGAGAATTTGTTCTGACAAACGCTGAAATTCCCAATAACAAAGCCATGGCCTTGGTCCCAGGCCAACTTGCTTCTTTGATGCTCAACATGAGTTAATGTCCTTTAAGCCAGTGTGTGCGGAATACCTGTCTCTTCCTCGTGCCAGTATGTGCTCAACTTGACCTTCACATACACATGTCTGATGGAAGAGCCGGCCCGGGCTCTTCTTAGTTCCCTTCGCCCCCCATTCTCTATGTCCTTCCATCACCACTTTTATCATTGGCGGAAGCAGTGGTTGGATGACTTCTGCCTCCCAAGTCCCCAGGTTAGCTGGCAGCCCGGGCAGGAAGGTCCTTCTTGCTCTCTGTCAAAGTTCTTACCTTGATTCCATGTGTTTCAGAACCAGCTGTGTCATCTATAAGAGAAGACCAAAGTTAGGCCCTGAGGACAGAATGAGGTAGCGATGAGCAGGGAGCCCTGGGGAAGTTTAATCTTCTCAGATGACCTTGAAAATTGCTGGCACTCAATAGAGGTCATTCTGGAGACATGAGAATCTGGCTGAAACCCACCAGAAGCAATCTAGACAAATGGTATACTGCTTGCTTTCTTCCCTCTAAGTCTTCCTGGAAAATGAGGTCACTGAAAAACTGTGGGAATTGACTTATGCGTATGGGTTCAACACCAAGGTTCCCCAGGTGACAACGGGCCATCACACACCTCACCCCTGGCTGGGACTGGGGACTAGCAGAAAACCTGACAAGAGTCCAAGAGCATCTCTTGTGCAGGGCAATTCCGCAGCAGCAGCAGCTTTTGCAGGTGTCAGTGTGTGACCTCTGCTTGTCCCCTGGAATTACATCAGTGTTGACAAATCCCTTCCCTGTCCCAAATTATCACCCTGGAAAAGGTCCTCCCTACCAGCTCTGCAACCCAAATAGTCTACTGAAAGAGTGCCGGTGTCTCACACCTGTAATCCGAGCTACTCGGGGAGGCAGAGATCAGGAGAATCATGGTTCTCATGGTTCGAAGCCAGCCCAGGGGAACAGTTCACGAGACCTTATCTCGAAAAACCTTTCACTAAAAAGGGCTGGTGGAGTGGCTCAAGGAGTAGGCCCTGAGTTCAGGCCCCAGTACTGCAAAATAAAAATAAAAATGAGCTTCTCCCGAAATAATTACAAGGGTCACATTGTAAGAATTTAGAGAGATGGCCCCATGAACTGAAATGTCTACAGTACAGGTGACTAAAGTCAGGTTTGTCCCCTGAGAAGGAGAGGACCCAAATGAAAGCGAGGTGGAGGAAGCAAGAGGATCTGAGACCAGCAGACATATTTGTCCACTTCTCTGTGTTGTCTGGGGTCTCTGAAGCAGCCACTTCCATCCCACAGCCTGGCACCTGTGCCTGTGCCTCCTGGAGACATTTTCAGGGCCAGGGGTCACGGGAGGGGTGTGGCAGAATCCTCTAGAAACTGCCTCTGAAACCAGATTTTGAGGGAGATGAGAGAAGAATGAGGGACTTGTCCATGTCTGTCTGCACCTTTCTGACACACACGCCCTCAGTGTCCCCCAGGGGAACTCACTGGCCTCGTGGGAGAAGGACCCCAAGCAGGGACACAGCGCTGGATGTGACGGGGTCTCAATATTTTGTCTTCTTATCCCACCTTCTGCTGCCCTCTAACCCAGTCTCCCGTCTCTGCCCTTGACCCGAGAGGATGTGACTACCTCTAGGTCCTGTCGTTGAAGTAATTAAGTGATGTCAGTCTGCTTCCAACCAGTGAGGCTAAGTAGGGCACATTTAGAAACTAACCTTTCATGCCTTTTCTTTGTGACTTTAGGGAACTTAGCGTCTATCAACAAATAAAACTTTTTTTTTGGTTTTTAGAAAAAAATCAAAGCATTTCTCTGCTAAAGGAATCAGAGGGCTGTCAGACCCATTTGGGGAAACCCTCATGATCAAACGGCCCAAGATCGAAAGATCAATGTGTAAAGAAGAAAATGTGAAAGATTTTAGTGGTAAGGTTGCAGGCGACAGTTGAGCACATGAAACTTAAAACTACATCAGCTGGGGGCTTTAAAAAGCTTTTTGATGGCTCAGCATGAAAAGAATGTTCGTATCCACTCATAACTGGGCAGGAAGCTATAAAACACCAGCATGCTTACAGAAAAACAACCAGTGGTGAAAATAACGGTCAGCCCAACTTATCCACCTGAAAACAATTTGGGGGAAGGTTGCTCAGATTGTCTCTCCCCTCCTTCCCTTGGAAAACCTCCTCCCTGCCAGTCCACATTTGGACAAGTGAGGCTGAGCCTCCCCGACTCTCCCAGCTCCTTATTTATTTACCACTGCAGCTCCATTGACCTTCCAGAGGGGTCACCAGGGTTGCCAGGTACAGTTGATAATGTGGACTGAGCAAGGGGCCCAGGTGTGGGGTGAGCACAGGCAGAAAGCTCAGGGCTGACTCACTAGCCTTGGTCGTGGTAGAGGGCCCTGTCTGTCCAAGGGGACACCTGCATTCATGCGAAAGCATCACTGATGCACCAACTTGTGCCATCACACAGTGCCTGTCCTGAGTTGTCTGTTGGGGACGGTGGGGGGGATGCCTTTGGTCTGATTCATATAGGACAGCTTTGAAGGAGTCACACTATAAATGACTACACATGTGACCCAAAAAAAAGGACCCTAGAGTTCAAAGTACCTAACACAGCACTCAGTCCAACTCTCTTTTAATCACACGCACAGAATCTGAAGCTCCAGGGACTTAGGTAACTTGTCCTGTGCTGTCCCACTAAGGAGTGGCACTGGGGTCAGATGCCACCCGATGCACAGGCTGGAGGGCATGTCCTCACCCTTGGACAGGCCTGAAACCAAGAAGAGCGCCAAGCCCTACATGGGCTGTGCTTTTCCCAGTGTGTCTGGACCCGTGGGAAATTTAATTTATAAATTAGGCATAGTAAGAGATGACCAACTAAGGACAAAATAGACCAATTCCAATAATATGCCATAATAAAATTAATGTGAAGTTTCTCTCTGTCTCTCTCCTCTCTCTCTCTCTCTCACCCATTTACCATTTAATTCTCTCATCAAGAAACTCAAAGACTAGGGGCATGGCTCAAGTGGTGGAGTGCATGCCTAGCAAGTGTGAGGCCCTGAGTTCAAATCCCAGTGCTGCCAAAAAAAAAAAAAAGTGTATAAACTTAAGAAATGGAAGAGACCTAAGAAAGACCAGGGCAAGGCCTCCCGGTCAGGGGCGGTTAGATGACAATGAATTCTCTCTCTACAGGGTCTGGGGCCAGTGGTCCCCAGTGGCCAAACCCCAGCAGCTCCTGCTTTTCAATGCTTGCTGACTACGTACCTTGACGACTGAGGTGATGTTGCAGTGGATGACATTCTGTAACAAAGAATCACAACCACGAATCAGCCCGACTACTAGAGAAACCCTCTGGAGAAGAAGCCAGTGTCAGAGAACCACAAGGATCAAGAGAAGACCCCGTGAGAGTGGTTCCATTGCTCACTCAGCCTGCAAAGTTAGCTCACTGATGCTCAGGGAGGGCGCACTAGAATTGAGAGAGATCTGACATTCGCTCTATGATTCTACACATTGGGGATCTGGAGTAGAAGTCACTTAGAAGTCTCCTTGAAAATTTAGCAAGGAATGCAGCCAATGGCTTCCCAAAGGAAGATGTAGACGGTTCGGCTTCACGATGGTGCAGAAGCAATGCGTGTTCAGTAGAAACCGAACTCCACATTTTGAATTTGGATCTGTTCCAGGGCTAGCGATAGGTGGTAGGTGGCCTCTTGCAATGCTGGAATGCACCAGTGTCCCAGTCAGTTCCGCCATCCTGTGGGGAGGCCGCCAGCCTCCACAGTGTGGAGGTTAGGTGGGCTGGATGTTGTACGTGCATTTTTGACTTAAGATGCTCTCAGTTTCAGGTGAGCTTATTGGGAGAAACCTCATCATAAGTCAAGGGGCATCTGCAGGAGGAAAGGTGGGTCCAGGAGACCGTAGCTTAGAGAACTGGATCGTGAACGGCTGGATTACACAAGATAGAGGCCCTGGGCTATGGAGGACAGGTAAAGCAACAAGTAGAATCACCCAAGCCAAAGAGAGCAGGAAAAAGGAAGACACAGAGACAAGAACAAACACAGACATATATGAATGTAAGAACAGAACTTGCTGAAGGAAAAAAATCAGACTTGTACCAGAAACAGGATGTGGAAAACAGAGACCGGGTGTGGTCAGAGAGAGTCTGGTGAGAGTGTCCCTGCAATCTGGGATCCTATGCCACGGTGGCAGCCTCAGGGCATGAATAAGACCATAGGGACACCTGGGTCATAGAGGATTTACCAACAAGAGGGCCTGCCCAGATTGGAATAAACCCATGAGTTCAAAGGTCAAGAACATGGGTAGGATTCATAACTTGTGCCTTCCAGGACTGTTAAGTGCATAAAAACCCATTCAAGCTGGCTGACCCTAACATCTCCAGCCACAGAGTTGTGTCACTTGCAGGGGACCAGCGTTTTCATGGGTTCCCCAGCATCAGATTCAAGCAGCTGAATCTCAAAAATACCCAGAACAGCTGTGTCTGTACTGAACGTGTACAGACTTGGTTTTGTCTTGTCTTTATTCCCTAAACAATCCTGCATTTGTAAGTCATCTCGAGGTGACTAAAGTATTCAGTGTGCTGGACACCGGTTCCATGCAAATATGGTGCCATCTTCTACAAGGCCCTGGGGCATTGTGAATTCAGGTGTCCCAAGAAGTCTGAGTCCCAGTCCCCCTGAGGTTCTGAGGGACGGCTGTACTTCCCTCACGCTGAAGGTTGAATCAGTCTTATTATTTGGAAGACAGAGAAACCCACAAAGCTGGAGTTTCTCCGACGCCAACAGCTATGAATCTGTTCAGGTAGAATTACCCTCTTATAAAACAGAATTCAGAATCCCAAAAGAATGCGACAATGGTCAGGTGAGTTTTGAAATGCACAGAGAGTGAAGATGTCCTTTTCCAAGAGATGGGCATAAAAGACGTACCCTTGACCGTGTCCCAAGTTCTAAGGTCAAAAAAAAGAGAGGCTCAAGACACTTGCCATACAGAATTCTGACCAGGTGGGTTTCCCCTTCGTTTCTCCGTCCCCAGCCCCGCAGGCCCCATACCTGAGGGAATGAGACACGGAAGCACACAGGCCCACCTGGATCTCATCCGGCTCGCTGAAGAAATGGCTTGGGAAGAGGTTTGGAAGCACCCCGACATTGTTGACTGAGAGAAAGACAAAGGAAAAAAGGTGAGCAGATCGGATAAGATTTCTATGCAAGGTAGCTCAGGGCAGGATGGGCCAACGCCCATGAATCATGGTGTCTGGGTGGGACTTCAGCCCCCAAAACTGTGGCTGCTCAGAGACCCAAAGAAACATTTGTGATATTAGGGTTTTTTTTAATGTCGCAAAAAGCTGTGTAGGTATAATTCCAGTTTTTGAAAATATATGTGGGTGTACCTGGAAGAATATGCACCAAAATGTTATCTCTGATTTTGGAGATTTTAAGAAACTCAGATTTCTTTTATTTTTCTGTCTGTTGTTGGTTTGGGGTTTGCTGGCACTTGCAAAGCAGCCACTCTACCACTTGAGCCACACCTGAGTCCATTTTGTCCTGGTTATTTTGGAAATGGGGGTCTTGTGAACTATTTGCCCAGGCTGACCTCGAATCGGGATCCTCCTGACCTCAGCCTGACAAGAAACTGGGATTACAGGCATGAGCCACTTGGCACTCAGCCAAGGAATTCAGATTACTTTTAAGTGCTTACATATTCTTTTCAATTTTCTGCAATGACAGGTTTTACATTTTTACTTGTGAAAGTGTAATTTTTTTTTTATTCAGCAGGAAGTTTAGGAATGAAATCTTACTTTTTTCCTACATACAAAAAGAACACTGCTTTGTGTCTTGCGTGTGGCTATAAAGTACCTTCTCTATAAATCATTACAGAAAAATGAATATTTTTCTGGACGGAAAGGAGAGTCAATGCTCAAATCACCCTCTATTTCACGGATCGATTACAGTGATGTTTGTTTGCTAAACTGATTGCTTTAGGCTGACGTTTCTGGGGTCACTCTTCCTACCAAACGTCAACACCAGTTCTATGAAAGAATTTCACTTTAATACTGAAAACAAACTTTGGAGGTTGAATGCATTCCAAAATCACATGCCATTTTTTTATCCCAGTAATGGCTCTTGAAGAACTGGGCTTCAACAGTCACTTTAATGGTACGGTTTAAGATGCAGTCGGGAGGTCTAAACCACCATGGAATAATCAAGGGCTGCTAAGATCATCAATTCACCGATGTATCCACAGGTTCTGCATTTTTCAGTTTGCTTACCTAAAATCCCAATTTGTAAGCCGTTGAGTTTTTCTTTAATATACTCGTAGATGTCGTCTTTGGTAAAATCTGCTTGTATAATCTTCACACGGCTCCCTATAGTCCTCTCTGCGTTACAGACAACAGAAATTTTTTAGTGAAATGGGATGCAAATACACCTCTTGGCCAAAAGCTTCCCAGATGCTCCCATACTACCCCAAGCAGACATTTAAAAAAAAAAAAAAAAAAAAACACAGCTACCCCAATTCGAAGTCAGAAATCACCCTGGAATAAATGCCAGGAGATGTTAAGAGATTTGTGAGTGAGAGTTTCTTAGAGCTACCACAGGGACAAGTATAAGAATTAAAATAGTGGTTCTCGATGCGGGATCCACTGACCACACACCACCCTCACCTGGAAAGGTGTTAGAAATGCAAATTCTCAACTTCCACCATATTCTCTTTGAATAACCTCCAGGTGACTCAGATGCGTGGTCAAGTTTGAGATGCCTCCCTCCCCAGAACTAAGGGCTGTGACAACTAGGTTTCCTGCTGCCAGTACTCAGTGAGCCCCAGGTCCCCTCAGCACAGGCACACCAACCCTTTGTACTTGCCAACACTTCGGCATTTACCTTATTTTAACCCTAGAAGTTGTTATTCTCATTTTCCGGAGCAGAAAGCTTAAGGCCCAGCCAGGCGAACCAGCCTCCCCGGGGGCAAGTTCACAGCTCTCTCCAAGTTCAGTGCCCTTTTGGACTGTTTTCAACTGGCACGCCATGTGCAGGAGTTTTCAGGCAGGTATAAAACCTAGGCAGAGTTACCAACTTCTTGGTGAACTGCTTTAGTTTTTGGAGTTAGATCCAATCTTTCTGGATAAAGCACTCATGAACTACAGTTTGGAAGGAGGGGATGATTTTATGCCAAAAGACACTGCTCGCTTTTCCAAAGGATGACAAAAAAGCGTATTTTAGCTTGAGGAAAACACTCTAGAATGTCTCAGTCCTAGTCAAAGTTATTTCTAGCACCTGGTCTAGGAAGAAAAGGAAGGTTCATCAGTGCAAGGGCACCCAGCCTCAGCCACAGTGTGACTGTGTGGCCCCAATCCTCCCACAGCCATCTCCAACCCCAAAGAAAGAAGGCTGACCCCAAACAAAGCCTGCCATTCATGCTTGCTGAGTTAAAAAAGCTTATTATCAAACTAGGTTCAAATACCCCAAAACAAGTATTGTAGTAAAGTCTCAGGGCACAAAGCAAAGTGAAGACACTGCTTTTGGAGGGAGTGGCAGAAGCCATCAGTAGCTGGAATCTCTGATGAGCAGGACCCATTGGTGCCTGTGCCACCGCTCCTGCTTCCCCCCTTCCCCACCATGGAACCCAAGGTGGGCTAAAACCTACACCTTAAATCTTCCCTTTCACACTGAGAACTGGTTTTCCCATGGGAGCAGATGGCAACCCAGGCTCCAGAGAACAGTTTTGGAATAGACAGGGGCAGGTGTGGTCAGTGGAACCCACCAATGCCTCCCTTATTTGGGGGTGCAGGGGTCACTCACCAATCTCTGTAGCAATGGCCTGAAGCTTTCCCAGCGTCCGGCTGATAAGCACAACGTTGAGTCCGTGTTTTGCCAGCTGAGGGGTTGGGATAGGACAAACCAAAAACAGACCAAGATGCCAAGTGAGCCCTGGAGCTCTGCAGTAAAGGTGCCCTGGTCTTCAGGCTGATGTGTCTGACTGCAGGTGAGGTACTTGCTTCCCTTGCCTTAGATGTCCAGAATGTCACCAAAGTTTCTGAGCTACAATGGGCCAGGCTAAAGATGACATCATGGTTTTGTTTTTCTTTTTGTACTGGGGATTTTGAACTCAGGGCCTCAGGCTTGCTAAGCTGGTGCTCTACCACTTAAGCCATGTGTCTAAGCTTTTTGCTTTCTGTTTGTTTTTCAGATAGGGTCTCACACTTTTGCCCAAGCCAGCCTTACACCACGATCTTCCTGCCTCCGCCTCCAGAACAGCTGGAACACCTGGTTCGTAGCAGTCATTAATGCTTATTGTGTGTTTACTATGGGCAGGCCAGCATCTGAAAACTTCTCTGAAACACAGGGGATTTGCTGTGTGCCAGAATCCAAAGCACTGGTGACTACGCACAGGCAGCCCTCCAGGCGTGCAGGTGCCACATCTGAAATGTACAGGAAGACGTGAGGAGATTTTAGGTAAAGTACTGTGCCATTTTATAGGAGAGACTTTAGCATCTGTGCAGCTCTGGACTAATTGATCCCCTTGGACCCGAGGGATGGCTGTATTCATAGCGGGGTCTATTTAATGAAAACAGCATTTCTGTCACAATTCTGTAGCATTCTTTTTTGTGATTCACTTGACCAAAGACCTTTCCTCTTGTTTTCTGTCTCCATTTTCTTCCAAATGGAATCAGGGGTACAGAGCAAAATTCAGACCTCCCAGACACAGGGCTGGCTGATGGTGTATCGCAGTGGGACATATTAACAGGGCAGCCATAGGACAGAGTCCACGGAGCACCCCCAAACCTGGTACACCAGGGGTCACAGGAAGCCCAAGACTGGTCTACTCCTAAAAACACCACCAGTGAGAAAAGTTGAAGCTTTCCTTCTAAAAAACAAAAGGGAAAACCCCAACACCCACTTGACTGGACTGATGACATTTGAGTTAGAGACCAAAACTCAAATATTTTGAGAGCATCTCTATAGTTTTAATGAAGGGATTTATACTGTTATCTTTTTTTCTTTTCTTTAGCAATGGAAATTCGTTGTCTCACAGTCCTGGAGATCAGGCATCTGGGGTCAAGGTGCTGGCAGGCTTGAGAGTCCCGCTGAGGACAGGGAGAACAATCTGTCTGTACCACAGGTGGTTTGATGGGATTCCTAGGTGTTCCTCACTATGTAAAGTATTGCCTCACTGGTTTTGTTTAATTAGCATACATTAATAGTATAGGTGGCTTCTCTGAGATAATCTCATACTTTGAACAAGTTCACCCCCTCTGTTATATTCCATGAGCTCCCCTGCCTCCGCCCCAACAAACAGTGCTTGGAGGGTTTCCTTATGCTATCTTCAGGTGTGTGTGTGTGTATATAACATACTTTAATCTTCTTCAACCTCCAGTACCCGCTCCTTTCCCTCTGCCCACTCCGCCGACATTAACTTTTTAATTATGGCAAAATGTGGATACTACAAAATGCACTGCCTTAACAAAAATAGGGACTATTTTACAAGCTTGTGTGTCGTCCGTAGGGACTCATGCCAGTCTTCTCTGTGTCAGTCCAACTTTAGCATCTGTGCAGCCAAAGCAACACTTAAGAACACAAAGAAAACACATAAGAAGCTGAATTATAGACTAGAACATCTGGTCTCCTGTAGCCACCCATTCTTTCTTCAGGACCATGGTCTCAGAATCACCCAGGGAGATGTCAAAAAATACCAGTGCCCACCAAACCAAAACCAGCCACATGAAAGTTCTTGGAATTGATGCTTTACCATTGACATTTTCTATTTTAATTTATCAAGCTGTGCTATTAAATAAACAAATACACTCTCATAGTGAAAGATTCAAGCAATACCCAAGGGAAAAAATGTCCCCATCTCCTAGTCCTGCCTCCCCACCCAGCCCTAAGCTCTACTACCTTATGTGTGTTGATTGGTCCCTAAATTTGATCTTTGCATCTATGGGCATATATAACACACTCAGAAATACATTTATTTTGTGGAGTTTATTTCTCTTTATTCTATATAATTGACATTTTAGGGCTGCAGACTTGGCTCATGTGGGCCTGCAGAACAAAACTCAAGGCACTGAGTTCAAAACCCAGCAATATAGAAATACATAAACATATACATATGTAACTGACATTTTAAGTTTTGTCCTGCAGCATTTTTTAACTTAATGATGTAGCTTATCCCTAAGAATATGGATCCCCAGCTCCACCAGAGTGTTTTTCAATAGTTTGTAGTGTCCTACAGCTCAGCTTCAGGTTCTTACATTTTCCCGTTACCAGAGCTGCCACCGTGGAACCTTTCACACAGCTCCCTGTATGTGTGAGTCACTTCTCTCCGGAGTAGACAGGTGGAAATTGTCATGTCCTAGGAAAATGCCGGTTAAATTTTAATAGCATTGCTAAACCGCCCTCCCTTAAAACTGCACCACCCAAAGAATAATTATAGCCATTGCCACGGTCTCATGAATAATATTTGATAATATTTCAATCATCGGACTTAAAAGTTCAGAATGATGGGTTTCCAGCTCGCTGGTATTTGATTGGGGCTGAGCATCTTTCTCCATGTTGCTGTGTGAATACAGTACATGCCCTTTTGCCTTCTTCTGGGTTATTTTCTTTATCATTTTCTCTTTTTTTGGTGGTAGTGCTGGGGATCGAACCTAGGACCTAACACAGACTAGGCAAGCACTGTTTCACTGGGCTCCATTCCCAAGCCTTGACTTTTTTTTTTTTTTTACAAGTTAATAGGATCTGTTTGTATATTCCTTTGCTTATTGTACCCTTGCCTTAATTTACAAATTAATTTTAATGCTATTAGATTTGTGAATATTTTCTTAATGGCTTTATTTTCCCTTTGTGATTTTCCTTCCATCCAAGGCTGTAAGTGCATCATCCTTTAAAAATAAACTTCTATAGTTTATTTTTAGCTATTTTGGAAATGGGAAGAGATTGAAATCATAGCATATTTTCTTTTCATAAATGAATAGCTAACGGTCTCAATGACATCTGTCAATTTTCCCATTCGTTCCTGATTTGAAATGCTAACTTGGTCATGTGCTAGCCTCTCGGGCATTCGTGGGGCTGTTTCTGGTCTATCTGTTCTGTTCCATCCACCTGCTGATTGGTTTCTGTACTGGAACTACTTTTGCTTAATCATAATCTTATAATAGCTTTTGATATCTGGTGACTGACAAGGTCCCACTATTTATGATTCTCTTTCAAAATGTTTTTGTCTCCTTTTTTGTGTGTTCAAATAGTGATAACATTTTCTAGTCACATATCACTTTGAAACTAGAGATATTTATTTATCTCATCCATAAATATGTCATCCACTTACTCAGATCGCCCATGTTCTTTGAGAATTTTTTGGAAGTTTCAGATCTTGAACGTTTCTTGTTAGGTTCACATTAGTTCAGATAACATTGGCTGCTGTAACAAATAGCTCCAGAATTTCAGTGACTTAACGCAAAAGAAGTTGTTATGGCCTTATGTCAGACTCTATTCCATCAAGGCACTCAGGACCCAGGGTTCAGAGAGGTTTTGTCACCTTTCACACCAGGTTTCAAAGACTGCCCTGAGTGTTGACATCCAGCCACTACAGGAATTAAAAAAACAGAAAAACTACCCTCCCTCCCTTAGCCATTTTAGACAAGAAGTGACACAAATCCTTTCTGTTGGTCATTTGCAAAATTAGTCTCATGACCCTCTACAGACTGGAGGGGAATGCCACAAGGACGACCACCTTCCGGCCACAACCCTTTACTGTGGATGACAAAGTAGGAGTCTGGGTGAACATTCAATTGTACCTGTCTTTGGTGTTCTAGGTTCACTCATTGCCCTTCTGACTTGAATTATTTTGGACAGAAGCAATGCCACAAGCATTGCCCGGGTTTAATTCCTGCTTCCCCTACTTCTACCTGTCCACACACGTCCTTTGTTTTGACTAGGAGAGGGCATTAAAGGTGTGTGGTGCAGAACCTGTTCCGGAGGAAGACTCAAGAGCAACTGCTGCCCTTCAAAACGGCAGTTATTATCTGCAGTTGAGCTCTTTCACTTGTCACCTCACTGAATTCTTCTTACTCCTAATTTTGTCCTTTGATTTGTTCCTTCCCCTCCTAGACAACGGTACTCTCTACAAAGAGCACAGCTTTGCCCCTTCTCTCCAAAATGTGCTCGTGCCGGGCCTGGTTTTCTTGGCTGACACCTCCTGCCCAAGGTTAGGCAGCTGTGGCTGCACCTGCCATCCTGACAACACTTTCATTGTTATTTCTAGTAGATACAAAGCGACATTTCCTGCATTTCCAGTAGATAGATATTTTTATCAGCTGGACAATGTTTTCATTCCTCCTTTTCCCAAAATTGTTGTTTTTCCCTAAACTGCTAAACTCAGTTTGCAAATTTTTAGCATGGGTCACAATTCTCTGACACTGTCCTAGCCCCAGCTTGGTTCCCAGGCTGCTCTGTCTAAGCAGTTTAAGAAGTATGCAAGGCAAGCCACTTGTCCCAGGCTCCTCCCCGTTTTAAAAGTGAAAGTGCCACATCCCCAGTGATAAGAAGTCTGTGAAGATTTCTTGGGTCCCAACTGCTATAGAGCAGTGAGTCCCATCTGTGCAGGGGAGGGGAAGGAGGAACGGCACCTGCCTACTGCCTCAACTCAGCGGAGAGGGGTTTCAACAGCACAGCCATGTTCTTTCATGTTTTCTATTCATTGTGCTTTTTTTTGTGTTGAGCCAAACCATCAGCCCATTTTGCTCTGGTTATTTTGGAGATGGGGGGGGTCTCGTGAACTATTTGCCTGGCTGGCCTCAAACCTCAATCCTCCATATCTCAGCCTCCCACGCCTGTAAGTGGCTTACAGGCATGAGCCACTGCACCTAATTTATTGTGCTT